CCACACCCCACTCCCCTCTCCCCTCTTCCCTCCCTCCCACCCTCTCTAAAAACCAATGGAAAAAATATCCTCCAATGAGGATTAAAAAAAAATTAGATGGAATTTCCTAAGTACCAATTGATGATATATGCTACAGATAGACAGGGAAGGTAAACAAGCCCACATTAAGTTATCAGAGAAACATTATGTTAGTATAAACACATCTTGATAATTCATATACAAATAATCAGTTCAAGACAAACAACAGGTTCAATAATGTACACATCAGTATAGCATACACTTTCTAAACAATAAAAGCAGAAAATTTGTTTATTACAAATCTTCACAAAAATTGCCTGTTTTAATATAGAATGCCATGCCAATTTCTTTAGATTGCTTTTCCTATTTAATTTAAGATGCCTATAATCACAGAGATTTCATTCTATTTTACAGAATGTTCTTTTAGAGTTACCTATAATTAGAAAGAATAAAAATATAGAGCCTAATAATATCAATCACAACTAGCCTATTTCTTTTTTATTATACTACATATTAATTTTTCACAGTAAGGGTAGTAAGAAATCAACAAATGGTTATCTCCTAACTGCTAACAGAAGATTTAATTCAGCCTTCATTAAGTTCTCTTAACATTTGGGTCCAAAATTTGGCTATATAAGAAGTTTACGGTAGATTACCATACTTCTTAGAATAAAAATTGTATTTTGAATAAAAATAAACACTCATAAGTTTGCTAAAATAGATTTAGCTCTAATCAGCTAAATTATTCACAAAATATTAAGTGACCAACTGGGGTCGTACATAAGTAAACTAAATTAATTTAGAATGAATGGGTCATGATCATATATTCCAAAATAACTGAAAAGGAGAAGTTAAGACTTAATAACATCAAATATATATTTTTTAAATGCCATAAAAAATAGGCCTACCTAAAGTAAAAGAGGAGAGGAAGACTAAAGAAGGGATTTCTGTTGATGAACAGAAAGTAGGAAGGACAAATGGCCCTCTATCTCAGCATTTCTCAGCCAAACACTGGTGAACTCCCAGCTTCTCTTCCCAAAGACTATAAGGAACTACTTCAGGATCCTCTATCCCTAATGATCCTATGAAATTTAAGTCAAATTTACCTTCCAGATCAGCTAAGGAAACAGTTGTGCTTTCCTCCTCCATCCCATAGTTCCCCATCTGCTCCTGCCAGCCAAAACTTACTTTATCAGAGAGCTAAAACACAAATGTATGGCTAAACTGACAAATTTACAAATACATATTAGTAATAAATCAACCAACTAGCAGGCATAAATAGCTACTTCAGATCTTTGCTTTTTGACAAAAGGGAACTAAAAGGAAGAACAAATATATTAGGCTCTCTAAATAAGATACATAAAAAAGAAACTTAAGAAGACAAAACTTTATAATCGTATACAGGATTACACCAGTTAACATGTATTAGGTACTAATAAATGGAAGCTATGTGCAGAAATTTTTCTTAGCAAGCCCACAAATAAATACAATTTACTAAAAACACTACCACTGAACTTCTATAGACCAACAATGGCCACAAATCAACTCAGTTTTTTTAAATAACATTAACTTCCTATAAAAGAGCTTTCTTAACACAGAATTTTCTAAGTTAATCACAGTTATCAATTAAACTTAGCAATTCACAAGTAGTTCAGTGAAAATGAAAGATACTATCACATTAAAAGTCAAAGTTAAATGTAGTCAAATTGAAAATATAACATCTGTGCATTTTATTGTACGTTAATTTACTTCAGTCAAAAAATTAAACATAAAAAGTCTTTAGTATGAGTAACTGAGTATGAAATATTTATTTCCTTTTTCAATCTTTTTTGTTGAAAGTATTACATGTGTCCTGTTTTTGAGGATGAAGTATTTAGATAAAGCAATTTTCCAGCTGAGTAAGGTATACATTCTAAAAAACTAAATCTTTTTATTTTGTTCCTAAAATATGTTACATGATTCACTGCCTTAATAGATAGCATAACATATAAAAATTGTTAACTTTTTAAAGGTTGTCCTTATGTGTGTCAAGGATCATGCCAAGCTCTTTACATTCACTAACTCATTTAATTTCAAATTCCTTTTTACAAGATGAGGGAACCAAGGACCACCCAGCTGGCATGGCACAGTGGTTGAGCTTCAACTTATGAACCAAGAGATCACCAGTTCAATTCCTGGTCAGAGCACATGCCTGGGTTATGGGCTCCATCCCCAGTAGGGGGCATGCAGGAGGCAGCCTATCAATGATTCTCTCTCATCATTGATGTTTCTCTCTCTCCCTTTCCCTTCCTCTCTGAAATCAATAAAAATATATATTGTTTTTAAAAGAAAGAAACCAAGGCTCAAAATGTTTAAGAAGCCTACCATGATCACATTCCAAGTTATACTCAACTCCAGGTCTGCCTGAATCTAAAGTCTACACTTAATTTTTCCCCAGGTTTATTACAGTACAATTGACAAATAAAAATGGCATATAATTAAGGTGTACAAGTAATGTTTTTATATATGTATACATTGTAAAATGGTTACCACAATAAAGCTAATTAACAAATCCATAAACTCACATCACCTTTTTTGTAGTAAGAACATTAGATTTACTCTTTTAGCAAATTTCAAGTATGCAACACAATATTAACTACTAAAGGCCTGGTGCACGAAATTCGTGCACGTGTGCGGTCCCTAGGTCTGGCCAGCCATCAAAGTGTGAGTGTTTGGCATGGAAGGGCAGGTCCTAGCTGACCTCTGGGCCCTGGGAAGCACCTTAGCTTATGAGCACCCCGCACCCCGACGCGTGCCCCTCCACCTAAGTCACGATGCCCGAGTCCCCATGTGGATATGTGGTGAGTGCAGGCTGGAGCACAGCTGTGCCGCACGGAAGCTGGGTGGGCAGCATGCTCTCTCTAGGCCAGCCTCACAGACAGGCTCCTGTGCAAACCCATGGGGAGCCCGACTGGCCCCTGTGGTCCCAGGGACTGTGGCCCGGCTCACCAGGAAGAGGCTGCACAGGTGCAGGGCGGGCTCCTTGCAGGCACCCGGCTCCTGAGCATGGGGGCTTCCCTGGCGCGCAAGCCATGGAGTCCCGGGGGAGGGTAGCAGGGGGAGTGAGAGCATGCTCAGCAGACACCCTGCATTCTCATTGCACCTCCATCTCCATCACCCCCACCACCAGGTAGCCAGTGAGAGGTCACAGCATGTCGCCGACACCCGCCAAGTTCCGCACCGCCCCCTGGTGGTCAGCACACGCCATAGCAAGCAGTCGAACTCTCAGTCTCCCGGTTGAACTCTCAGTTGAACAACTGCCCAAGGGAACAATTTGCATTTTAGGCTTTTATTATATAGGACTAGAGGCCCGGTGCACAAAAATTTGTGCACTCGGGGGGCGGGGAGAGGGGGGTCCCCCAGCCTGGCCTGTGCCCTCTCGCAGTCTGGGACCCCTCGGGAGACAATGACCTGCTGGCTTAGGCCTGCTCCCAGGTGGCAGACGGCAGGCCCAATCCCTAAGTGCAGCCCCTGGTCAGGCTCAGAGCAGGGCCGATTGGGGAGTTGGGGCGCCGCCC